CCGCAGCAGAGTAACCGCGTGTGGAACCTCGGCAGCAAACGCGGGACGCTGCGGGGGTGATCAGCACCCACCTCGGGGCAGGGCTGTGCAAAAGTCCTGCCTCTCCTTCCAGAAGGAGGATGCCCCAGCAGTTGGGTTGTTCACAGCGTCCTGCTTGGCTCTGGGCCTCCCCTTGTCACTTCAGCTGGGGGAAGAGCAGGCTGTACTTCTCCTGGCTTGTGGCACCACGCTTGGGGGCTGTAGGGGTGGGTGATGTTGTGCTAATGAAAACAAACAACGTTCTTCCCCAGATCTAACCTACGAGCTGACTGTGAAGAGTTCGGACCTGGCAGGTAAGGACCATCCTCTCAGCATCCGCGTTAAACTCCCTCACCTCCTTCCTGCTGGTGTTTTCTCCATGAGGAGCAGCCGAGAGGCCTCTGCCTTGGGATGTTGGCTTCGTAAACACCAAAGGTGTAAGAGTGGTTTGCTGCTTTCCTGACTTGGGTATGAAGTTCTCAGCGAGGGCACGTAGGAAACCTTTGATAGAGCCTGGGCTGCTGACCCCTCCCTCTTACAGCCAGTCCGTTCCCTGCCTGCTGTTCAGGAGCAGGGAACGTGAGTTTTGGGGGCAGAAGAGCGAGACTGTTACTGAAACTTTCTGGCCCTGTCATTACACCACAAAGCTTTTGTTTCTGTTTATATATATGTGCTAGTTTCTAGTTATTTCAGGTATGCTCTGTTGTCAAGAGGTGAAGCAGGGGAACAAAGCACTCCCGGGAGGGACCTCCCGGCTCGGGGCTGTGGGACAGGACACCCACTGCAGACATGAGAACACAGGCCAAGCCAGCAAAGCTTTGCCAGTGCTCAGCCCCACTTCCCGGCCCGCCATGTTCCCAGCACAGGCTGTTCAGCCTGGGGGATGCATCGGCACCGGTGCTGTGTTGGTGCTGAGCTCCAACCCTGCCCGGGTGGCGGGGACGACCACTGCCACGTGCAGCGACAGCCCTGGGGCACAGGGTGCCTGTCACCGGGGAAGTTGAGGCTGCTGGTCTCTGCTGAGCAGTGGGGAAGGTGGCCAGCCCGGATAACTGAGGGAAGGGTGACGACATCGCCCCACACGCCCCGTGGTGCGTGGCGGGGCAACCGGGACGGCTCAGCCTGCCTGTTCCTGGCAGCGTGTCCTCATGGCGCGAGAACCCTGGTGTTACGGGGTGATGTTGGGAAGGGGAGGCAGCCAGGCCGGGACGCCTCGTCCCCACAGAGCCTGAGCAAGAGGCAGGCCACTGCCTTAGAGTCGTGGCCTTCAGCTGGATGCCCACGGAGGGGCGAAGGCAAAGCCCAAGCTTCCCAGGCAGCTGCTCCGTCACTCCCTCCAGCCAGACGCCATCAAACTGTGGCCAGCGGCACTAGCCTGGCATTTCCTTGCGAGCTGTCCCCATGCTGCTGGAGACAAAGGAGTTTAAGGGAATTAGCAGAAGTTGGTTTTAGGGACTACTCTGAGGGCTCCAGGATGGCGAAAGGCGCCTTTCTGCACTGTTGTTAACCCAAACCGCTTGTGCTTCTCCTGTCCGTCCAGGAAATGGCAGTTCCAGAAGTGACGAGCTCAAAAGAAAGTGTGAAGATCTTGAAGCTCAGCTGAAAGTCAAAGAGGCTGAAAACAATGAGTTGCTGAAGGAACTTGAACAGAAGAATGCAATGATCATGGTGCTGGAAAACACGATTAAGGAAAGGGAAAAGAAGTACTTGGAGGAGCTGAAGATGAAGAGCCATAAGCTCAATATGCTGTCGAGCGAACTGGAGCAGAGGGCGAGCACTATCGCCTACCTGACTTCTCAGCTGCATGCTACCAAGAAGAAGCTGCTGAGCTCGAGCGGGACATCGGAGGGGACCCCTTCGGGCAGTCCTGTCCTGTCCAACTACAAGCCGTCCCCTCCCAAAGACAAGCTGCCGGAGACGCCGCGGCGCAGGATGAAGAAGAGTCTGTCAACACCACTCAACCCTGAGTTTGAAGAGGCCTACCGAATAGGGGCGGACAGCCGGAAGCTGCTGCTCCGGGAGCCTGTGGATGCCATGCCTGACCCCACTCCGTTCCTGTTGGCCAGGGAGACGGCAGAGGTACACCTGATCAAGGAGAGGCCATTAGTTATTCCACCTATTGCATCGGATCGCGCCCCCGGTGAATCGCACAGCCCGGCCCGAGAGAAGCCACACAAGGCCCACATTGGGGTGGCGCATCGCATCCACCACGTCGCGCCAGCCCAGCCGCAGCCGGAGGTTGAAACGCTGGCAGTGGATCCGGTCCACGGAAACAAAGTGGTCAGAAAGCACTCAGGGACAGACAGAACTGTGTGAGTGACCCCACCGGCACGCTCCACTCGCTCTGTACGCACTGTGATCCTGTAGGATACCTAGCACCTGCAGTAAAGTTCCTTTCGCTGCCCCATGCATGCCAAGCTCCCTCCCGATACGTCACAAATAGGTTATGCTCCTCTATGAACCCTCCTGTGACCGTGTCCGTCCGGCAAGGTGTACAACTACTGAATGCTGTGGCCAAATCAGGGGTACCTGACCGCTTGCTTCTTCCTTATCGTAACCACGCGTGGCCACGGGCCGCGTTACTACTCTGCGTCCGTGACTCTCAGCCTGCAGCACTGCGTGTTGGCTGTTAACGTTGGGGCGGCCGGTGGTTCCTTGTCTCCGCTGTCCGCGCCGTGCTGACCACCCGCGGCCAAGCCTTTCCCACAGCAGCACTGACGACACCGCAGACGGGCGTCACCTCACAGCGACCCAAGGGCGGCGCTTCCTTCACGTGCTCTCCCAGGCAGACTGTCTCCCTGGTTTCTCAGAAGCCCCAGCAGGAGTTACTTGATCGGTCCTAAACGCTGGGTGTCTGAGGCTGAAGTAGAAACAGGGGGAGGTGGCTGAAGCGCTCTGGAAGGGTTAATGAGCCTCACGGAGTATGGACACGGGGTCGCTTGGGTTGGGGTTGTCGAAGGGAGAGGCTCGATGACATGTCTCATGCGTGTCACTGCGCTGGTCGCACCTTCCAGCCCGGCTCAGAGCTCCTTTTCCAGGGAGAAGAGGTGACTGCCCTCTGTGGGAAGGGGTCGGTTTGTCTCCTGATGTCCCAGGGCTTCCGCTGGCTGTGAACCCCGAGCCGTCGCTCCGAGCTGCGCGTTCAGGTCCGAACGTGGTACGGGAGGAGCACCTGGCCACAGGTGTTCCCCTTGGGATTGGGATGGACCTGCCTTGCACTTGCCCTGCTTCCCCGATGCCTCGGGTAGCCTGCTTGATTGGTTTGTATTGCTGGTTTCCCGGGGAAGAAAGGCATATGGAGAGCTGTGGGAGTGCTTATTTTTGGGAAGGGAGCACAAATGTGAGTGTTTTCCTCAAATTCCGATCCACACCTCCGGCTTGCCTCTGCTTCACCTGTCTGCAGCCTCTGAGTAGGACCAGCCAGAACTGGCTCCCAAATGCTGCTAAAGCTTCTGATGTGCCTTCAAACCCCGGAACGCGTAAGCCGTGACTGTGGGAGCATCCCTGCCCCCCCCGCCAGCTGTAGCCTGCCCCTCTTCCGCTTCTCCTGCCGCTGTGTGTTGGTGTCCGGAGCCCTGGATCGCGCTCAGCTTCCCCGCCAAGGCACGGCCTGGGTGACAAAGGCCGCGATTCCCCGCCACCGTGAGCGTGACGACTCCACGGAGCTGCTCTGGGTGGGGAGAGGCGACCAGCCCCGAGGCCAGCGGTGCCCACCCCGGGACCCCCCGCCCCAGAAAGAGTTTGTTTTGGGCGTGGTGGGGAGGGACGGGGAAAAGCTGTGTTGCTGGTTTGGGGAAGGTGGTTATTCACGGTCTGGTGTTGCATCACCCTGCAGTGGGTTGGGGTTCCCCGCCGCTCGCTCGCGGCCGATGGACGGCACCGCTTCGAAGCGCAGCAGAAGTGACGCTTTGGGCAATTAAAAACGTTTCTTACAACCCTACAGGCCAACCCGAGTCTTTGTGTGCGTGAGACCGGCTCCCAACCTCTTCCCGAACCTCCACCCTAGGCCAGCCTGGAGCCTTCCCCAAGGAAACGCGGGAAGGAAACACACATCTCTCCCACCGCGTTTATTGTCGGCGCTGGCCGGGCCG